TGAATCGTAAATCGTGGTTTATTCATTCATCGAGATTGTTTTCTTGTAAGTCATACTTTGATATGATTATTGATTATCCTAATGTTTCTTCTTTTCCTCTATTGATGATATCGAATGCACATGTGCCCCTAAGAGTTAAAATCTTTGCATGGCCTTTGGCTAATTGGTAGCTCATTAGCAATGACACGTTTCAAAAGAGGAGACCTATTTGCTACTTGCTTCCACAACGGTGCATCATAATGTGTAAGAGCTCGAAATGCATTGATAATTTATTTTTACATTATACTGCGGCTTTGGCATTATGGGTTTCGTCCTTTTCAATTGGCAGAGGTTGATTGGTTAGTCCTGGCTTCTTGCTTCCATATGCTAATTATTGATTATAGAGATTTTAGTTCCACTAAGAGAGCACGAGTTCTTTGGAATAGTGCCATTTGTGCTGTGCTTTGGGTTATTTGGACAGAAAGTAATGCAACAATTTTTTACCATAAGGTTGAACATTTAAGGGATAAGATTTGTTATTATATGAATTTTTCAATTTAGATAATTTCGAGTCCTTTCTACAAAACCCATATATATATAAACATAGATTATTCCTTAGTAGCATGAAACACCTATGGAGCCTCACTCCTGGCTCCCAAACCTCGCTCCCGCTTCGTGCAACTATGGGTTATTCTTTCTTGCACTGAAGCATACAGTGAGCCCTAATATCGAGCTAAGAACAATCACTTGAACCAAAATGTTGAATCTTTCTCATTCTAACAATCAAAACATCGCGCATAAACAGCAACAAAGAAACCAGGGTCGCAGAGGGAGCTAAAACCCTAACACATACAAAGCAAGGAGAAAACACACAAAATAAAAAAATAAAAAATTGTATTAAGTATATTTGGCGTACCTCGAAATGTGCAAACAATCTTTCAGGAGTAGAAGAAAGGGACGAAAACCCTAGATTCTGTATTCACAATGAGCGATGTGATAATAGTGATGAAGAACATCTGTGGAACCTATATATACATACGCGATGTATGTATATGTTGTGAAGGTCTGCGACGAAGGCAAGCTTTCTTTGTTGTTGCTACGCTGAGATATTTTTCTCCTTTTGGGAAGATGGTTATTAATAAGTTATTTTATGGTTAGACGGTTTTTACTAATTTAGCAAGTTAGGTCAAGTTTGGCATGAGACAAAAATGATAAAAAGTCAAAAAGTCACTATTTTATTTAAGTCATATCATTTTATTTAAGTCATATCACTTTTCTAACATATCACTTCAAACCCAACCCAAATCCAACCCATATTTCATAAAAAGTCAAAAAATGCACTTATTTAGTCTTCCTAAACTAGGCCTTAATATTTTTATATTTAAGAGCAGAATTTTTTTTTTTTTTCACTTAAATAAGGACATTTGTAAGAAAATAAATAAATAAATAATTATAAATTTAATGTTATATTTTATTCTATTAAATATTTTAACTTATTTTACTAAAAAAAAAATCAAATTTAACTACCCAAGCACCGTGAATATTTGTCTGCTTGTAAAATTGAAACTACCATGATCTGAGCCCATGGGCCCCCAATAAAATGAAATAAAAAAAAAGCTCCCAATTTGCGGGAAAAAAAAAATCACGATGTAATGGCTATCTTATGTATTAAGGGTTGTTTGGGATTAACGTTTTAGTATTTTTTTTTTTTTAGTAAATTTAAATAAAATAGCATTTACTCGACTAGACTAATTTAAAAATTAAAATTAAAATAATAATTTGGGAAAAAAAATTACTTAACACCAAAAAAAACTCAAAAACTATATTTTTTAGTTTTTAATAATTTTTTTTAATATTTTCAAAATTAAATTTTCTTACACTTTTTTGATTCTTTAAATGGATGTGAAAAGCATATAATTTTGACATAAATTTTAAAAAAAATATCAAAGACAAAGCAGTTAAAATAAAACGTAATTTTTTAGTTGGATGCGAAACAATACCTAGGTACATTTTTGTGTACTTGTGTGCGGGTATATTGCTAAATTATTAAAGAATTCATTTACTCCCTTATCCAAAGTTTTGGAGAAATATAACTCCAACATATGCGGCTAACAACTTTATTTCACATTCACATTTTTGCTACAAACGCTCCACACTTTGTTAATTTTATAAAATTATAATAAAGTCCTTCACATTCTTATCATTTATACAATTGTTTACGATTTTTTTTTTCTTCACCACTTAAGAGAGACAACTTTCACATTTACACAAAAATTACGTCATAATAATGAATGTGGAATCCTTTTCAAGAAAAAGAGAGGGCTAACAACACCATCTTAATTAAATGCAAAAAATTAAAATTATTTTTCTTCACAGTTTCTTAGTAATATTACTGTAAAAAAAATGTTTGAGACTCTCATTTTATGGAGATCCTCACAATTTCTTTTGGATCTCAACCATATATGTGGTACCCACTCATATATGTGTGGAGCCCACATATACATCAATAATAGAGATCCAAAGGAGGTTATGAGAGTCTAAAAAAAATGAGGGTCTCAATCATTGTTGGTACTATAAATTGAATATATGCACAAAGCAATACAATCAGATAAGTTCAATTTCTAACTAAAATCTCTTTATACAATAATATAACAGTTTCTTTTTTCTGTTTTCAAAAATTTTGAACATTTTAAATCAATTATACTGTTTTGAAAACAAAAACATATTAAACAAGTTTTCATTTCTAGCTTCTACAAAAAGTAAAGTGAAAATAGAAAACAAGAAACGAAAACATTACAAATATCAAAGTGATTAAATTACATGATTATTGAGAAGAAATTTTGAAATAAAAAGGGAAAATTGCACTTTAGTGCATATTTTCAAAAATAATTGCAAATCAGTGGTATTTATAAACTTTAATAATTAAAATTACAAATAATTTTATGAATTTACAAATATTTTGTGAAAATACCACTAATTTGTAATTTTTCTAAATAAAAAAAAATGATTTATGTATGGCTCCAAGAAAGATTCCCATTAATATGCCAAGATATTAGTCAACTTTGCCATATCAGGGAATGTTAATGCAAACAACAGTAATGTTTAATATCTACATGTCTATCTAAAATAAGTGTTTAATATTTATAAATTAATCAGACCAAAACAAATAACTCGAGGATGCCAGCAAATGAACATGCATCAGGTAAGTAGATTCAAGAATGTTTTCCAAATAAAACAAAAATTCTTTCACGCCACGTACCGACGAATGCATAACAGGATCAAACAAATTGAGCAGCAGAAATGGAAATACAAAATGAAATATGAATTGTGCACCAAAAATAGGTATAGAAAGATAAATAGAGAGAACAAGAGAGACAGATAAATAGAAAATATTTCACTAAAACCAGAAGGTGAAGAAGCCAATGGCATGAATAACTCACTTCACTAAATCTTGTTTAAAGCAAGTACGTGGTACTACAGCTACAGGTACAAATTTTTCTGAAATTTATGACAAATACATATGAAAAACTGGTTCTATCCTTCGCAGGGAAAGTTAAGAATGTTCACATAGCAGCCTTGCTCAGCAGCCTTTTCTCACATCCTTCATGTAAAAAACAAGGTAATGATCATGATAAAAAAAGTAAGCCAATGCTTCAGACTTTTACATACATTTAATCCCTAAAGATATGCATAAATGCCAGAAGAATGTGCTTTGTCCCGAACCAATCATTAGCCATGCAAAAGAGGTTCAGCGGCCCACAGCTGGTTATACAGCATGGTTCTATAATTTACATTTGTCACTGGTGTTGGAAACGATTGGTCAATTCCCTGAGTTTGTGGACCCCTTAGGATGTAAGAAACCAAGGCAATTGGAGAAGGTAATGCCGCGTGATATAAGGTAGATGATAAATGCAACATACGCAGCTGTAAACACGGATACCAAAGAGACAAACAACCATCCGTTTACTTCAGAAGAGAAAAATTCCAGCAAAAGATACCCATTGATCAGCATCAGCAAGGCAGCGACAAGCCATGAAACCATCTAAAAACCAAAAAAAATAAATAAATAACAAATAACAATAATAATGTGAATCCATAAAGTCATTTTCAACAACCTAAGCAGTATGCAAAGCATGCCAAAGGAGATAACGAACAGAATTATTTCCATTTACCATTCTCTTTTGAGCTTTACGAGAGCTATGAATTGCAACAGCATAGCAACAAAAGAGAAACAATCAAGGAACAATAGTGCAACAGAAAGGTTCATAATTGTGTACATAAAAAGGACAGCTACAAAGGGAAACCCAGTGCACGAGGCTTCAGCTAATCACATTGTGTGTGTGTGTGTTTGTAGTGTTCTGAAACACAAGTTAACAGTCCTTCACCTATGATTTATGGTTTCATCTAGAATGCTGCCATGACAGTATCCTTGGTAATATTAATCAATATTTGTCCTTGATCGTCCTTCTAGACAAGTTTTAAGAAAAAGGCAAGAAAGTGTATTTATCCAAGCATATAAAAATCAAAAGTCTCCACCCGATATAAATTATTAGTCATGTATTTACCTTCGCACAGGTACAGATGAACCCAAATCACAAAGCATGGTGTAGAATTACCAAAGAGGTGGAACAAATAAACAAATCTTTAACTGTGATTTGGGTAATAGTACGAGTCACTGTGTTGAAAAGCATATTGGGAAAGAACATGGAGGAGGAGGCAATAGCTCAAGAATCCGGATCTTCTGTCGCACTCTCCTGTCTCCCTCCCTGTCGCCCTCCAAAACGACGTCGTTTTGGAGGTTTTTTTTTTTTTTTTTTGGCAATAGCTCAAAGGTTTGAGTACTTGATAGTGCACCGAATTTAGAAGTAACCAGTATTTTAAAAAGACAAACCTCTACATCACTGCAGAAAAGAATTCAACGTAGTTCCAAGGGCCAATAATCATCTCAACTTTCAAAAATCAGAGTTCATAACAATTGATGTCAAACACAATGTTGTAATGATCATAAATATAAATATATATATATATATATATATATTTTATAGGGAAGTAGTAGATGGAAAATATGTAAGTTGTTCTGTTAGATCCTCAAAAAAAAGCGTTCAAGATTCAGTTAATTTGATCATTCAGCTAATAAAATACTATTCAGTGTATGAATTGAGTAAAACACGCTGCAGGTTACCAGATCTGAAAAACCTAGAATGACAATTTAAGCAATCAATCAAGCAAAAAAGTAACGGGTCACCCAGAACGAAGAGCCAAGATTCAGAAAATGGGAACAAATAAGTGCAACAAAGAACCAAAGACGGCAGAATAAAAGAAGAGAGCAATAGTATACCTTGAGGACAGTGCCAATTTTAAAAACACCCATGATCTCCTCATTGGACACCAAACAGAGAAGGGGAATGAGCGCAAAAGGGATCTGAACTGACTGAAGCACATTAAGCCATTCGTTCAGAACATCTAATGAGTCGTCAGAGCTCTCAAAAGCAAGAGCAACTATCATAGTTGGGACAATAGCAAAGCTTCTAGTTATCAATGCCCTGACCCATTTCTTCAGCCGCAAGTTCAGAAAACCTCCCATAATAAACTGCCCCGCATAAGTGCCAGTAAGGGTGCTACTTTGCCCAGCAGCTAATAATCCAATAGCCCAGATATATAGAATTGGCAACAACCCTCCCCCATATTTCTCTTCAAGATACTGCCCTGCATTTGCAAGGCCAATGCTACTGGCGATATCAGTACCATAAAACGCCGCTGCAAACACAGTCGTAACAAATAGATTGATTACAAAGGAGATTGCAAGGGCAACGGTGGACTCTATGGAGTAGTAGTTGAAGGCTTCTTGAACACGGCCAATCTTGCGGCGATCAATCTCTCTTGATTGTACAAGGGCAGAGTGCAAGAACACATTGTGAGGCATAATAATACAACCCACAACACCCACAGCCTGCTGTATTGTTTTTGAGCCAAGTTTTGGAATTAAAATACCTACATGGGAGATGCTATTGTCAGTGCTTTAGAGTCAAAGAAGCATAATAGTTTTGTCAATTCAAAACAATAGAAGGGCTATGATAATTTTAAAAAAGAAAATGTTCTTACCAAGAAGAAGTTCTACCCCATTCGGCTTTGTGTCTACAAACATCCAAGCAAATGACATCGCCATCGTTGCAATAAGAACAGCAAAAACTGCTTCTAGTTTCCTTACACCAAAGTTCTCAAGAAATAGAAAGACAAAGCTGTAATAAAATAAATAAAGAGACAGATATTAGTACAATAATTCATTTCAACTAAATAGTTTCTATTTGATTCCAAAGAATATGTAGGAAACTTAAACTACCAAATCATTTCAAACCCAGAAAAAAACATAACAACTAAACCTCATTGTTGATTTCTCATATTTATACAAATATGCATATTTATTTGCAGTATCTTATCTACCAAACACATTAATGTGCACTAAATTGGGCGTTGTTTTTGTTGTTTTTTTTATTTTTAACATCTTATCTACAAAACAAAGGTTTAGGTATTTGGTCAAAAAGTAAAAAATAATATATAGAGGGTTACGTTCTAATTTCAAGCTAATCGAATAATAAAGAAACTCATTCTCGAGTAAAATTTCCAAATTATAATATAAGCAGAATAGGGTTGGCAAAAAATTGAGTTCAGAAAAAAAGCATAAATGTTAAAAACTAAACAGCCCTCAATCTCACAAACCCAAATTGTACAATCACAATATGCACAAAATTTCCTCCAAAAAAAAAAAACAATCAAAACACAACAACATGATTAATTGCACAGAAACACAAGTGTTGAGAGAGATTACCAATCACAAGCAGTTATAACAACACCACCCCAAAGAGGCACAGCTCCATTGCTGAGAATCTTGATAGCAATCGCACTTCCAATGACTTCCTGAATATCGGACCCAATCAGGGCAAGCTCCGCCATGACCCACAGCAACAGCCGAGCCCATTTGGGGTACTCGTCGCGGCAGAGCTCGGCCAAGTGGCGTCCAGTGGCGACGCCGAGCCGAGCCGAGAGGAGTTGGATGAGGAGACCCATGGCGGTAGCCCAGAAAAGTAGCCAGAGAAGAGAGTAGCCGGCGATGGCGCCGGCTTGAAGATCGCCCTCGAGGTTGCCCGGATCGAGGAAAGCGATGCTCATGAGGAAACCAGGGCCAGTGAAGAGCCAGAGCTTCTTCCATGAAAACGGCGGCGTTTTGGTCCAGTCTTCGGAGTCGGCGTCGTCCACTCCGACGATGTGGACTTTCTCGGTGGAGTCGAAATCTGCCACTTCCTCGTCGGAATCGAATGTCCGGTTGGCTAGTAATGGTTTATGCTCGTCGTGAAGTGGCATCGTTCTAGAGACAGAGAGAGTCAATAATAATTCAGTGTTGGAGAGAGAGAGAGTGATAAGTCTCTGTGAGATAAGGGAAGAGGGAGCCTTTGGAAGTTATAAAACCCCAATATCTTCTTTTTCTTCTTCTTGGCTTTGCGTTTTTTTAATCTTCTCCGGCTTCTCTTTCTCTGTATTGATATTTATTTATCCGAGGCATCACATTTCGCGAGGGTGTGTGTGGCCACGTGCACTTTGGAATTTATCTTGAGGGTATTTGAGTTAATCACATGCTTTCGTATTGTATTTACTTAGAGCATCTCCAATGGTAGTAGGTATTTTATCTATCTAAATATTACTATAAAGTATACATTTTATTTTGCCTGTCAACAATTTCATGTTTCTACCCCAATCATGCTCTTTATTTTAGCTATTCATCCAAATACTATTAACTTTATAGAATGCCACGTCAGCAACAAAGATGGAGGGAAATAATCTTAATGATTAAATACATTTTGCCTAACCTTGAAGGCTAGCTACATGTAGCTAGTGAATGTGAGCTGAGCCAAAATGCCTAAGCATATGCCTAGTGCATTGGAGTTGAAAAAAGTGAGTCATATTAGACATTTTAACTAACAAGCATCATATGCCTAGTGGGTTGGAGATGCTCTTAGAATTCATTAAAAAAAAAACACACACGCGTGGAATACAGTGATTTGTGAAAAAAACCCCAAAAAGTAGGGCAAGTACCAACAATGCTACATACTTCACCAAAAAAAAAAAAAAAGGCAGAAAAAATTCCACAACCGCACTCACCAACCCACTCACCGGTGATTGATCGAGAAAAAAAAAAAAATATATATATATATATATATATATGAGTGGTTTACATCATTTAAAAAAGGACTTGAGGTCACTGCTATGGTAAATGTACAGTAATGATTATTGTGCTTTATTTTGTGATGTATTATGGATTTATTTTTATAATTTAAACCGTACATTTTGTAGGATTTGTTGAGTACTTAAAGCCTACCAAAAATCATATTAATCGGATATCAATAATTATATGATCGAATTGCATATTTTTATACTATTTTTCAAAAGAAAAACTTCTTGTTTGTTTTTTTGGTTATCAATCATATAGTTATTGGTATCCGATTAATATGATTTTTGGTAGGCTTGAAGTACTCAAAAAATCCTACAAAATGGACGGTTCAGATCATAAAAATAATCTCATAATGCATCACAAAATAAAGCACAACAGTCACTGCTGTGCGTTTGCCACAGCAGTGACCCCAATTCCTTTAAAAAATTATGAGTTAAAAAAATCATGAGAGTTCTCAAGGTCCCGAACATTTTTAAGACAAGTACATCCGCTGAATTTTTCAAAAAATAATTACATAATAATAAATTTATACTATATATTAAGTAAAAGGGGTTTTAACCCCAAGCCTTATGGGAGTTCCAATCTCCTAATCTAAATTCCTTAATTTTTTGATTTAAAAAAAAAATCTTAGCATTTATTAACATCTCCCAACTCTCAAGTCTTACCCTCATAATAACACTTTAATGCATTAAGAACAACTATAATTTTTTTTTTAAATCCAACACATATGAATTCATTGAAAAGTTCCAACACATATGATTATTATCCCTCATAATAACACTTTAATGCATTAAAAACAAACATAAAAAAATTTCTTGAAAAGTCCAACATATATGATTATTATCAAAATATTAAACTTTAATATAATATAATAAAAAAAACATTTAATTTCTTGAAAAGTCCAACACATATGATTATTATCAAAATATTAAACTTTAATATCATATAAAAAAGGAAAAAAGGAAAAAAAGAAGACATTTAAAAAAAACATTTAAAAATCATAATTCACATATATAGATAATTGTTAACACAATAAAATAGGAGGACATTCATGTCTACACGTTTTTTTTATAAGATCTCCTCCATTATAATAAGATAGCACTTTATTTCTCTCATATTATAATCTATATATATATTATCTATACTATATATTAAGTAAAATGGGGTTTTTAACCCCCAAAGCCTGTGAGAGTTTCAATATCCCGATCTGAATTTTCTATATTTTTTATTTTTTATTTAAAAAAAAAATCTCAGCACTTATTGATTTGGTCGAAATTCCCTGATCAGCATTTATTAAATTTTTTCAATCCACATGTCTTTCCACATGTCTGCATTTATTGATTTTGTCAAAATCTCCTAATCAGCATTTAAAATCCCATCATACAAATAATTATAGATACAATCCATGTATAGTTACTGTAGTACCCTTTTCAATTTCTCACATACACTATGGTTAGTGATAAGATTGTTAAATTATTTTTATAAAAAATCTTAAAAAACATAATTTATATATTAAAAAAATCTAAAATAAATATAAAATATCTATAATTATCCTGTGCATAGCACAGATGATAGGCCAGTACTATATATTAAGCAAAAAGAGGTTTTTAACCCCAAGGCCTGTGGGAGTTTCAATATCTCAATCTGAATTTTCTAAATATTTTATTAAAAAAAAAACTCATCATTTATTGGTTTGGTCAAAATCCCCTGATCAGCATTTATTAACTTTTTTTTTTAATCCACATGTCTTTCCACATGCCTGTATTTATTGATTTGGTCAAAATTTTCTGATCAGCATTTAAAATCCCCTCATACAAATAATTATAGATATAATCTATGTATAGTTACTGCAGTACCCTTTTCGACTTCTCTCATACATTATGGTTAGTGATAAGATTATTAAATTATTTTTATAAAAAATTTTAAAAAACATAATTTATATATTAAAAAAAAATCTAAAACAAATATAAATATCTATAATTATCCCGTGCATAGCACGGGTGATAGGCTAGTATTATTATAAGATATTGGAACTCCTACAAGACTTGTGAGTTCCAATATCTCATAATAACATTTTACTGCATTAAGAACAATCATAAAAAAAAAAAAATTGAAATCCAACACATGTAAATTCCTTGAAAAGTCCCAACACATATGACTATTATCTCTCATAATAACACTTTAATGCATTAAGAACAAGTATAAAAAAAATTTATGAAAAAGTCCAACACATATGATTATTATCAAAATATTAAATTTTAATATAATATAATAAAAAATATATATTTAATTCCTTGAAAAGTCTAATACATATGATTATTATCAAAATATTAAAGTTTAATATAATATAAAAAAGGAAAAAAAGAGAAGGCATTTTAAAAAAAAAGAAATTTAAAAATCACAATTCACATATATAGATAATTGTAAACATAATCCGTGCACAGCACGGGTGATATGCTAGTTATAACTATTACTAATATTTATAAAATTTATTTTAATTTGCAATTATTTTTTGACAAGACTACTGATTTAATATTTTTTTTTTAAAAGTAACACCATTCTAAAAAATTACAACAATAAAATTACAAACCACTTCATAAAATATTTATAAACTCATAAAAAAATTATAATTTTAATTATTAAAATTGATAATGTTTATCATTGATTTGTAATTTTTTTTTTCATACATCCATTGAAATTTTTCCTTCCAAAAAAAAATTTGTATAATACACAAATATAAACCAGAAATTAATATAAATAAAATTAAATAAAATAAACTATTTGATGTATTGTTAAAATTAAATACAAATTTATATATTATTGTATTCATGAGTTTAAGTTTACTTGAGTTATTTGATTATTAAACAAGTGAGTTCAAACAAATTATAAATTGAGTTCAAGTTGTTTTTAAATATTTCTATTCGTTGCAACTCTACCTTTACCAAATACAACCTGTCTATATTTTGGTAATTCTTTCTATAAAATTTGGCTATACCAATTGCATAAAAATTGTTTTCAATTATTTGATAATATAAGAAAAAATTAGTGAAACATCCCTCTCAAACTTTAAATAATAGAAGAAATTCAATATGTTTTTTCTTATTAGTTAAGATCCCTCAATAATATTATTAGAGAAAGTTTCTATAAAAATATTAAGAGACCACAACTACTATAAAAATATTATATGTCATTTATGTTATAAAATCATAATATTAGCACCTTATACTAAAAAACTCTATAATATCGTTGATTGAATAGTTCGCATGTTTAGCCCTCATTTGGGATTAAAAAGTTAAAAAAAATATTTTAAAAATCAAAAAATTAGCATGTATTTTAAAAAGTTGACTTTTATTAAAAGGCTATATAGTTATTGAGAGGGTAATGTATTTGAAAATTGGGCCGAGCTGGATCTATGGGCCGATCTGTGGGCCATAATAAGAGAGGCCGAGTAAAAAGGACTAGAAGTTTGCCCGGTCTAAGAGAGCTCTGCAGTTAGCTCGGTCACCACACTCAGAGCGGTAACAGTTAGCTCGGTCATACCATGTTAAGCCAAAGTAAGGTAGGTTTTCCTCAGAACCTTGCTATTGGTTAGCTCGGTCCAAGATCATTGTGGATAGCACGGTTTTAGACAACCCAGTTGGAATATGTCAACCGAGGTACGCGCGCAGTGAAAGGAAAAACTGAGCTAGTGAGAGCTCGGTCTAGTGTACGGCTTTAGCATGGCCATGTTATCTCGGTCATATTAACATCCAACCGTGGTAGAACCATTTCACTTGGTTTAAGCAATGAGGGGGGTGTTGAAGAATAAGCATTATCTTTCAAGAATGTGATTCCTATGAGGACTCTACATGGAGGAGTAAGAGTCCTACTAGGATTGTGCCACACGGAACCTATAAAAACTCATAACATCACCTATGGAGAGGTAACATGACTTTGATTCCTGAATACACAGAGCTTTTGTCTATTTGTCTATTTTACTGACTTAGGCATCGGAGAGGTATCCGGCACACACCCGCCGGCTAGCTAATGTTTGTGTTTTCAGGAAGTAAAGTGACGACGTTTGGAGGAGCGCGGACTTGATCAACAGAATTATACGAGAAGATTATTTCTTGCTTGTTCAATTGGCGCCGTATATGGGAATATCAGACAAAGAACAAAACCTCTGGATCAAGTTTCCCTCGCTAGTTGAATGGCGCACAATGAAGATTTGTCGCAGTCCGCCATCGACGGACAAACCCCAAAGGGGGGTGGGAGGTGCGAAGGTTTGCCCTCTATCCCTCCCATGGCAGACTTAGAG